TAGAAGGTTTTAAAAAAATTTAGAAGATTCTAAAAGGTCCTAGAATGTGGTAATTTGGAATATATCCATGCTAAGAATTGCAATTAAGAATGGTACTTTTTTAGTTGCTATTAAGGATTAATGATATCATTAGATTAGTAGTAATATTATTATAACAAATTTGATGATGATAGAATTTTGTAATGTTGAGTAATTGATAGAATCCAAAAATTAGACACCACATTCAAAAAATTATTTCAATACTACTCCAGATTAGATTGATTATAGCTCCGCAATTACCTAATGGATTTTTTTCAATTTGGACTCATTTGGTAGCTATAAAGGAGTACTTTATTTGCTATACAAATAATATGCCATTATTCACTATAATTCATTTGTAATACACCATTCTTTCAAAAATATGTCAAAATTAAATTAGTTTTTTGAATCACTGTACTTTTTTGAAAAAGTCTCACTTATTTATTTGCTTTCATTTAATTCTTGTCCTTGATACTTTACTATTTTTTATTTGTTTTTATTTTTTTTAGCTTACACATAATTAAATCCACCATAATATCCTTAATATAAGATTAATTGTAGATTCAATATTTTTTTCTTGACTTTAGTATAAATTATGTGACTAACTTAAAAATAATTAATAGTATTAATATTAATATTTTTATTATTTATAGTATTATTTGTATTAGTGGTATTGCTTCTATTGATATTGGTAATTGAACATCAATAATATTTTTTTACAAAGCTATTAGATTAGAAATAAAATTTACATTCTTTCTAATAAATTCAATTTTTATATTTATAATTATTTAATATATAATTTCTATGAATAAAAAGTCAATTATTTTAGTTCATGACCTGTCATTTAAGTTCTTGAGTTTGATCTTTAGCCATGTGTTATATCTCTTGTCTCTTTTAGTTTCTAAAAATTCATTTAATACATCTTCAAAAACATTCATATCTATTGATATGTGTGTATATATATATATATATATATATATAAGTTTATCAATTCTTTTGGATTTTTAAAGAATTGATAACTTAAGATGTTAACAAATAATATTATCTTAATCTTTTTCTATTTCTTAAGCTTGAAAGGTTCCAAGCAAAATTATTGATCTTAATCCAAAATAATGAATTCTTCTCTGAAAAAATACACATAAGTTTCATTTTGTTTAAAGATTTTTATTTTCAAGTATTAATAATAAATTATTTAATAATTATATAGAAAAACTATACATAAAAATTAAATAAGTTATAATGCACTAAAACTACTTTTAAAGATTGTATTGCACAATGAACCTAAAAGTATCATGATAAGTAACTCAAGTGCTCTATCATTAGTACATTGTAAGATGCATAAGAAATTAAACCTACAAACAATCAAAGCAATGTATTCGTTATTTAGATTATTATCCTTGTAAAGTTTTATTTTAAATTTTTTATAATCTATCTAATACAACCTTGTTGATCTATTTATATTGATATTATATTTCTTCATATATTCTAAAAATAAATTAAATTTAAAAATTTTATATATTAAATAACATCTATATTAAGTCTATTTATTTATTATGAATTGTTGGTAAAACTAATTAAATCTTAGTTACATAGTATTACCTTCAACTATTAATTTTTTCATATTTTTAAAGATTTATTTGGAGTTTAAAATCCTTCACAAATATGATTAAATCTAAAGAAATCATTACAAAAAATCCAAAAGAAACCTTAAAGAAACCTTCATCAAATCCTAGCCAATTCTAAAAAAATCTTAAGTAAGTGCTACTTGAATCCTAATAAAATCCTAGATTATTTCTAAAAATTATAATAAAATCCTAATAAAATTCGAATAAATTCCTAATAAAATTTCAAGTAACTTTTTAATCAAATCTTAAGTAAATAAAAAAAATCCTAATAAAATCTTTAAAAAATCTTTAATATCTCTGATAAAATTCTAACCAAAACTTAAGTCAATTATAAAAAATCTTATTAAATTTTTATTTAAATTTTAATTAATTCTAATAAACCATTATCAAATCTTAAATAAACTTATATATTAGATTTGAAACCTCAATAATTATATATTTTATCATTGATCTTGATCTAGTTTTTTTTAAAAAAATAATATAATATTTGAAAACAAAAATATGACATTTGAAGAAAAGTAAACTTAAAAATTGGGAATAAAAGCTATTAATTTTTTCAAGTATTGGTTATCCTCTTTTTCTAACCTTGATTTCAATCTTTTAGCATTAATAGCTTTCTTTTGCATTATTTACTTGCTCTAATAGTTTTTATAAAGTTAAAAAACTAAGTGAAATATTACTTTATAAAAAAAAATCCAATTTAATTGGAAAATTGCTCAAAATTATAGAGATTTTCATTGATTTTCAAAATCCAATTCCTAAGATCCTAGTCTACTTGAATTTTAATAATTTTTAATCTAACCACCTAATTAAGCTTAATCTCACAATAAACATCCAATACAATTGTGTTTACAAATTTACAATTTTTAACCATAGTTTTGCTAAAAAATTCACAAAATTTACTAAAATGTATTTTTTGGTTTTTCAAAAAAAAAGTCACTTAATACAATTCTAACTTTCAAACCTCTCACAAAGTCATTATCTAGTCAAGTCCCTCAAAACCAACTCTTAAAAAAAATTTATCAAGTCAAATCTTTAATATTATACTTTGATCAATAAAAAAAGAATCCACATTTGTCAAGGATGTGCAATTTTGTGCCTTGGGATCTTATTTTGATCCTAGTTTATAACAAGCCCTTGTTGGATATTATTCTAAGTTTTTTAAGATTTTTATTTTATTTATTTATTTATTTATTTTTATTAAAATATATTCTTTACTTTTATCCAAAGATGCTTATAATATTATTTTTTCTAACTTTCTTTGTTTTATCTTATTTATAATCTTATAAAGTAAATAAAATCTATTTTTATAAAAAATAATATTAAAATTAAATTACTTTTTATTACCTCCTTAACTTTTATCTATATTTTTTTAAGTAATTTTTGTTATATTTTTAATTTTAAAATTCAATAACATAAACCTTCTTTTTTTCTTTTAATTAATAGTTGTATTACAAATCAACAAGTAGTTCCAAAGTTTTTTTTAATAGTAAAACTAAATAAGACTTATAGAAATTTATTTTACAAAGTTGTATATAATCTTTTTATTCTTAAGGCTTCAAAATTTGGTTTTTCTACATCTATGTTTTAAAATATATATATATTTTTAATTAAAATCAAGATCAATTTTTCAGTTGATATCAAAAACCTTTTCAATTATATAATTTTTTATTTATATTAAAATACATAATATAAACTATGACAATATTTAGAATACCATTTTATAAATACTTATGTTAATTCTATCATATTTCAAAAACCAACATCCAACTAATTTGAAACATTTTGTATGGCTTAATAGCAATAGATTCTATACATCTAGAAGTTTTGAGCCTAAAATTTATCCTATGATTTAAGTTATGACTCAAAAAATAACTATCATTTAAATACATTAAATAAATTCTATTGAATATATGTGCTTACTTTGATTTGTAATATCTCCTTTATTATAGCTCTAAATTTATTGATTCTTATATAAAAATTTTAATCTAAAAAAAAACTCAAAAAACCATTGCCATTGCTCTTGCTGGGATCTAAAAATATTTTTAAGACACTTTGCACCTCTTGTTTATTACATGCTTAATTTTGTGATCCATCTCTCTACTCTAATCTTGTGCCAACAAGAAAATCAAAAATAGTTTAGGTAGGTACCTTCCACTATCTTCTTTTTGTGACATTTATTATCTCTCTACTTGCTCATAAATAAAGCTCTTCTTCTTGCTACATCTACTATCTCTTTGCTTAATCCTTAATACTTATCTTCTTCACAATTCTATGTCATATTGCCATCCTTCAATGCTACTATTGTTGTTCATAAACACTCTTATCATCAATAAGAGGACCACTTTTGTATGTTTTTCTTATATCTCTCCTTGTCCCTTGTTGCCTCTTTAATGTTGGTATTATCCTTCTCAATTATCTTCTCCATCCAAAGCAAGATCATGTGGATAAAGAACTTCAAGTACTTATTTTCCATGTCCTTCATTCTCTTCTCTTTTAACTACTCTTAGTGATCTTCTTTCATATTTATAACTTCATGTCTCTTCTACATCCTATTTACTTTCTACTTGTGTCTCTAGTGATTTTAAATGAGCCTCTTTTCTCCCCCCACTCCTCTTCTTCTCCTCTTCTAATTGTGCCACTTTAGAACTCTTCCATAATATTGCCATTAAGGATTTTTATGGTTTGATTAAAAAAATAAAAAAACTAATACTTTTATAAGATTAAACAAATGCTTAATTGTATCTTCTAAGTTAATATTATTAATAGCAAAAAGTTAAAGTCATTGAAACTCTTTATTAATCTAATACAAATCCAAAAAGTCAAAAATCTTTATAATTACAAATTTAATCTTAAAAGAACTAAAACCAAAGATTTGAAAAGAAATGAAAAGACTTTTGAATCTAAAAAGAAATGAAGTTCAAATTAAAGATAAAGAAATATCTTTAAATAATAATAAATTGAAGAATCTTAAGAACATCAATTAAAAATTGTGCTTTTTAGGCATCGAATAAAAAAAAAAAAAAAAAAAAAAAAATGAAGAAGAAAAATTCCCAAGAAATCAGTAAAACAATTAGAGGAGAAAACAAAAAAGACAAAGAAGGTAGAACACAACAATAGAAGAATTAAATTTAAAAGTAGTGGAAATCATAATTTAAGAATAAAAGAATTTACAAAAAAAAGATACAAGAATTCAAAGATAAATAAAAATAAATAAATGAAAACAAGAAGAAATAAACCCAAATTATAGGTTAATCCAAAATTCTCGGCAAAAGGAGATACAACCTTATTATATCCATGAACTTGTCAAGCTGTGAGATAATGGCTTGTTGCTTCAAGGGGCAGTGTTTTATACAGTAATTGTCTGCTGTCCACAGAGTAGTCAGAATTGGAAGCTTGAACTTGTGCAAATTTATCATCATGCAAACTTTGGGTTGGCGCTCGTTAGCTCGGGTACTTATTGTGGCACACTCGCCCTCTATCGTTGAGGTTGTCGATAAGTGTGGCTCTTTGGTATTGGTGATGGTTGCCTCTCCACGACGCGGGTTCTGCTGATTCTGATATTTTGCCTATCGTTGACGTGCATGAGCGTAGTCCTCATCACCAGAATTGCAAATTCGCACTCTTTGGAGTATCGACTTCGCTTTCTCCATTTGCCTTGGTTAGTTGGACATGTCCTTCTTTTTGCTGTCTTTTTGGAACAATCCTAACCTACGGAACAATGTGGGAAAAATATTTAGGGGAAATATTTTTTGTTCAGATCTTCGAACTGGGTTTAGAGGAATTGACAGGAATAACAGGAGATAAGTTCGAGGACTGATAAGAGAGGAGCTCTTGTGAGAGTAACCCTCAAACAGAGTGTCTAATGTAATGGAGTTAGTGGAAAAAAATACAAATTTTCGTTAAAGTGTAAAATTGGTTCGTGACTCCCTTACATAGGGATTTGAGGACCTAAATGCGGAAGAGGACATGTTGCTGAATAGGACTCGGAAATAGTTACGGTCTCCAATTTGTGTCCGCGTCAAAACTCTTTTCTATCGAAAAATTGACATACGAAAGTTGATTGTGAGAACATGCCAACACCAAATTTGATCTATACTTGGATTGAATATTGGTGTATCCTGCATCTGTCATCTTCTTTTCCTGTAGCACATCTGAATAATGTGTGTAACCCCTTTCATGCCTGTGGAGTGCCTGACCTGAATTCCAGCAGGAGCAACAGCTTGGAGCGATTCACATTCATCCCCCCAATTCCTCCTTGATTCTGCAATGCTTCCGTGGGACGCAGATGACTTGCGTTGAGCAATTTAGTGCACCATAATCTTCCAAAAAAAGAATAGGGTAATCACAAATCCTTGAGTTATCATGTGTGGACGTAATTTTTGGATTTTCTAAAGAATAAATGAAGTTTCGTTTCTGGATATTCTATCTTAGGTTATTTCTCACGTTTACGCTTGAAATCTGAGTGTGGCGCCCAATTCATATTCTGGGCGCCATGCAAACTCCATGACTCCACAAAAAGATTCATGATGAGTGGGATTGGAAATAAAGTTTCATGATGAGTGGGATCGGAAATAAAGTTTCATGATGAGTTGGATTTGAACAAGTAGGCGATTATATCGTGATGGAAGTATACCGACTGCGTGATATATGAATGCCGTGAGAGTCGGTTTGGACCTTGGACACGTCAAACCTTGTCAGTGTGATCGACGTAAACCTACCTCACTATCTATGTATCAAGATTGTCTGTGTGCTCTTTTATCTCCCAACCCTGTGAAGGATTCAGATGTCGAATTGAATAACCCTCTCAGAATACTTGTTCTTGGCGCAAACTCATTCTACACAAGTTCATTTTGCGTTGTAAATTATGAAGCTTCGAATCCAGTAAAGAGATAAATGGAACGCGGTTCGTATTCAGCTTGTTCTGTCTTTTCAGGACTTCATGTTTTCATATTACGGTTCCGAAAGTGATTATATTATTAGTCTAAGTGTTCCTTAAGTTAGTAACGCATATCCTTACAGAATGATTGGTTTGTTTGAATGCCGTTAAAGTTCCTCTTCTCTACCTTTAATTGTGGGGAGGTGTTTTTAAAACCCCTGGCTCTAAAAGGTTATTCTATTGCAGGTTGGGAGGGTGTGTAATCACATGGATAACTTGCGTTTAATACCTTCGAAGGAAATGACGAATGCTGGTAGGTCTGAGTCGATTGGCTTGGAACCCGAATCGTCTGCCCATTTGCTGAGCCCTCATTTCTAATTACGTTCCACAGAAATTCCTTGTCATGCCACTAACGTAATGGTGGGAACTTGGTAATGTTGGTTTCAGGGTCCCTAGACACCGGTGTTCTAAGCGCTGTTGGCTTAACGACAGTCTCCACAGCTTCTTCTTGTCGCGTGGAGCTCAATAATTCGGCCATGGAGGTTACTCAACCCGACGGAATGGCAAGTGTCGGTAGGTCAGAGCTGATCGTCCTAGGTTCGGGATCGTCCACTGGCGTACCGAGCCCTCTCTGCGTAATAAATCCCACAGATCCTCCCTGCAACGTCTGCCGCATGGCTATGGAGGGTCCCCATGAATTGAATCCCAACTATAGGTAAGGACATGTGACTGGCTGATTTGATTCAAATTTGAACTTTATGCTCCGCCAGTGTTCAAATGTGTCGCTTATTATGAGTTGTAGGTTTACTTTGTCAAAGGAACTATTGGAAACTTGAAACCAAGAAACACGGTCCAACCGGAACAGCAGTTATGAATCATAAGCCCTGTATGTAGTAATCCTCAACGGGCGTCCTCATAATCCCCTTTCACCGCTGCTCTTGAGGGTTTGCCTTCTAGTTGTGGTACTCTGAAGCTTCTGCGCTAGATTTAGGTTTACGTATTCTGTATTAGATTTAGGTTTAAGATAGCTGAATACCCTATGCATGAGTTCGACTACAATTTAAGTGGATTAATAGATGCATTGGTGCTTCTGGATGACAAGGTGCAATCCATCGCTGTTAATCAGTTATTTGCATAATGATGGGCAACGACGCTACATTCAAATTGATGCTGGAAAAGACTTCAAGGAGCAAGTGTTGCGTTGGTTTATTCCTTACAAGATTCCAAGGCTTGATGCTGTGAGTGTATAAGAAGTGCCCTATTTTTTCCCAAGCATTACTTCTTTGTTATGTTACTGCCTCCTATGTAAACGTGCTAACATATCTTAGAATGTCTTCGATTGTTCTCATTATGCCGGTGTTATATGAGTGCAGCTTATCTTAACACATGAACATGCGGATGCCATGTTGGGTTTGGATAATGTTCGAGGTGTGCAACCTGTCAATTTCAAGAACGATATTCCGCCCATGCCAGTATTTGTTACCCAGCATACAATGGACAGGTTTGCTTACAACCACTTCTCTTCAAACTATGAAGAAGCTCTTTGAATTCGATATCGTCTCACTTGATTGAGCACAAGTGTGTTACCTCATTAATCTGCAATTTAATGGTGTAGCCTCTCTACACTGCAACTAGAGCGACTTGATAGTCTATTCACAGCAGCGGGGTGTTAGGAATCTATTTTTCTCTCCTCTTCTCTCTCTCTCTCACTCTCTCTCACTCTCTCTACTCATAAATTGCATAAAATCTGAAATCGCATAATTACTTATCATTTATTTTAGATTTGATGTCTTTTTTTATATAAAAAGTGAATCAAACACCGGCTTTTTTCAGTGGTCTTTAGGTCACTTGGCACTAGTAATGTCCTTGCGGCATGATTGAAGAATTGTCCTTAGTGTTGCTGGCAATTAAGTCAAGTATGAATAATCGTAGTAACACGCACATATTTGGTACAGTGTGGCTCTTAAATTTCCATATTTAGCCTCAAAAAAGAGGAAAGAGGGTGAAGAGCTGAGGCGAGTGGCTCAATTTGATTGGCGTGTAATAGAACCTTCCATTGATACTCGATTTCAAGCTGGTGGTCTCACCTTCACTCCATTACCTGTACGTACTATTCCGAAGTTCTCCTTTCTTCCTTGCTAAATTTTTCATGCCACTATTTTTGTCCTATCCGCATACGATGTAAATGCTTGATGCCGACATACTGAATACATTCATATCTCTGGCAATGTGGACATTGTGTAATATCAATACACATGTTCATATTACAGCTAGAATACTTCGAACAAGCTTGTTCAGTTCAGTGTGGCGTGCACTTAGTTTTGCTTAGTTTGATCAGAATTGCATAAAAGCAGGTGAAGGCTTGATAACCTTTGGATTATAAATTGATCCTTTCAGGGATTGTTGGCAAGGGAATGGCAACCAGCTGTGATGAGTATATGGTAGTGCCAGTGATACAGTGTATCTGGTCATGCAGGTTTATCATGGAGAAGATTATATATGTCTTGGTTTTTTATTTGGGGAAAAAACTAGAGTTGCTTACATATCTGATGTATCTCGGATTCCTACCAGAACTGAACATGGTACTGTCCACTTGCTTTGATGTCCCCATTGTACCTGTTGAATCTAGTTTCCTTTCTGTTGTCCTCATCACTTCTCGTCTTGGTGCTGACAAAAGTATGCCCCTCCCTTTGGTGAGGGCATTGATACAGTAATATCAAAAGAACAAGGTGGCCAAGTGGACTTGCTTTTCGTGGATACTAATGGTGTAGGGTTACCGGGGGGAATATCTCATATGGCAGCTATTGCCAAATATGGAGCGGGCCAAGTAGATTTTCTCTTTTTGGATTCACTTTATAAGGTTCTGGAAAATCTTTCCATTTTTTGTTCACTGTGTGCAACAAAGTTAGAATTTATTACTTGGACTAGACTGTTCTGGCTGTGTAACATCCGAGAGCTGTCTTTGAAGTCTTTCTGATTATTTGTGTGTACGTTGTTATTTCAGGAAACACCTCACAATACTCACATGACCTTCCCAGAGGTGATTACTTCCCAATTAATGTGGACCTATGAGTTTTAGCTTCTTAATTGTGACTTGAGAGATTTTTAGTTTCTTGCACCAGTTATTGAATTTTTCTCTTTTGTGATCATATTTTCTACACTGGAGCAGTGAGGACTCTTGCTTTAGAGGCACTCATGTTCACCGTATGTCTCGGTGTTTCCGTGCAGAGTTTGAAGGTAATCAAGAAGCTGCAGCCTAAACGTGCTTTTTTGATAGGAATGACGCACGAGTTCGAACACGACCTTGATAGCAAAATACTAGCTGAGTGGTCAGCAAGGTGCTCTTCGTACTCTTTTCCTTCAATTGTTTTTGAAGTTAAACTGCATGATGTTCATTCCATTGATTCTAACCGGCCCCCAATTACAACATTGGACATCCTGTTGGTTAACACGCTTGTCTCAGAATGTGTTATCTTCTCAAGCATTGGGACATTACGTGCATGTAGCCTAACGTGAGTTAGCACATTAAGATCTTTCTTGAGCGTAGTGCACACGACATTTGACTGATGATGTAATGGTATGTGTTTGCAGAGAGAGAATCCCTGTGGAATTCAGCTATGACGGACTCCGCATCCCTGTTGATTTATGAAAGCAACATACCGTGGAGACTTCGCCAATTTGTAATGAGCACTTATTTATTTATTTTTTATTTAGTCTTATTGTACTACCTTGACAATCAGGGTATAATTAATTGGAGGGCCCATTCTTGATCCTTACCTCACTTGCCATTTTGAGCGCTGGGTACTGTAGCTGATGTGGGTGTGGGAGATGTACCGAAGTTTGGTGCACAGAGTGAAGAAAAATATTCTGATGATGCAATTCGTTAACTAGTTTCAGGCTCCTGTTCCTGATGAGTTGTGGGTGATTCAACTGTGTCGTGTGTTTGACACTGTGTGGCGAATCATTTTGATTGAGCTCTAGGCTGTGTACAGGTTCTTTCACAGGGGCATCTTAGTGCTACTTCACATTGTGCACAAATCAGCTTTTGTTAGAAGGCTGTGAGGACTATGCTATAGAATGTCATCACACGAGCGTTTCATGAAAAATCATCGAAAGAGCCCACATCCCTGCCTCAGTACACGACCGTGGAGTCTACAATGTAGGTGGAATGTGGCTCCCAACAGTTCGACCTCTGGCAACCCTTAAGCTTTCAATTCTTCCAGCTGAGAGATCTGCTTAGAAGACCCCACCCAGGGGAATCATTTGCTGTGCTTTTCAATAGTACTCTAACTTTCGACAGCGAACTACAGAAAGAAAGTTTTATCGGAGAGGATGCCGAATGTAGAAAACAGTTAAATATGAAATTGCAATGCTCGAAAAAGCATCTTGTAACAGATCTAGGTGACTAGGTGGTTAGTATACAATAAACTAAATGACGGTAGGTCCGAATGTGTTGGTTGGTAGGATCTTTAGAGCAGCAAAACCGCATGTTCTATCACTTGGGTTGATCATTTGGTCTCATCCAGTGGTTCATCTCCTGAACACACCTCATGACACAGCTCACAGGCCCTTTTGTGACTGGCATGGCTGATGTATTCTGTGGAGAGTATAAAGAACAGAAATCTGCAACAACTGTAATTAGGGTTGCAGACACCCCTCCGGAGAGTATTTAACTGAAACTTGATCATTGAACTATTGAATATCCCATATTGTATGTATTAAAAGTTGGGACTTATCCAGCTCCTAACTAAGGCATTGGAAGTACCCTTCCCTTGGCTTTTGGCACCTTTTGTTCGCAACAAATAATGTAGATTTTGTTTTCATGTTTTCATAACATGGTATTAGAGTTGGATGAACGTCAATTTGGATAAACAATACCATGGATGAATATAAATTTGGATGAAATTGGATGTTTTTCGTAGATGATTTTTTTGGATGATCTGCTTGTTAGAACTTCATTGTTGCTGGACTATCGCCAAAGTCAAGGAGCTATTGAAGCCTTGTTGGAGCTGATAGAGTGGGAATTGCTCCAATATAGCTTGCATTTAATATTAAGTCTTTGCAATTAACTCATATATCCAAGTGTAATACTACAACAAAGATGTGGGATGTATTGGCTAAGATCTATAAGCCCTTAGGATTTATTATTGAGATATTTTTAATGAAGAAATTGTATAATCTTTGATATGTGGATGGAGAATTTATGGAGATTTTTCTTGGAGAGATTTTTGATCTTAGGAATCAATATATTGAAGCTGATGATGAAATGGAAAAAAAGAATATAACATTTCTTATACTTATTATTTTTCCAAAATCTTGGGATCTACTTATTCAGTCAATTACATCAAAAAAAAGTAAAGAGATAATGTAAGAAGTAGTATAATTTATTCTCCTTGAGGAAGAGATACAAAGGAAAGAGAAGACTTATTCTCCATTTTCTAATTTAGCAATGCATACAAGAAGAAATCAAGTCTTAAAGAAGCACCCTCTACAATAAAAATAGAAGCCTAAGATTATTAAGTCTAGAAGTACTAATAAGACTTGTGGACAAAAGGAGCATTGGTGAGGTCATTCAAAATATCTTAAAACAAATAGCAATCGTGTAGTAAAAGTTGGCGTTCCTATCCTATTATTTTTTTATTTCAATAGATATTATTTAATTAAAAAAAAATGATGCATCATTGTCTCAATTATGACATTACATACGCATTGATAGTGCAACAAATGTACACATTCAAGAAGATAAGATTAAGCTTCTCAATTTTGATGAAAATGCAACTATCAAACTCCAACACTATGAGGGTGGCATTAGCAAATCATGAGGCTTAAGTGAGATGCATCTTATAGTTTAGATCCTACAAGAAAATGCATTCTTATGGTTATAAAGGATGTCTATTAGGTTCCTAGAGCATGTGATATTTTGTTATCAATTGTAAATTTATACAAGAATGGTTGCAAATTTAACTTGGATTTCAATGGAGTATTAGGGATATGAATTTCAAAGAATTAAAATGATAATATACTCTTTTGTCACTTAAAAAGTCTAAAAAATCACTCAAAGATGATATAATATTAAACTAGAATAGCTATTACTAAAAACAAGAAGACTTAAAAAATCTTGAGATAAGACAAAGGATTAGAAAGGCATTCACAAGAATAAAAAAAAGCTTCACTCTTGCCTCTATATATACCTTTGACTAGGAGCTATGTAGTAATATCCTATAGGACCTCTAAAACATATTGACTTTGTAAGATATATATTTTAACTTCCAAGGTAAGTTTTCTATATGTGCGCCTCATAATTAGCTTATTCTATTATCTAGTAATATGTGATTAACTTGTTGATCAAGTTTCTAACCTATCAATCAACTACAAACACACCTAAAATCAAAACAACATCTATGAAGCTTTTAAGAATCTTTTTAAAAATATATCATAAAATAAATATATTTTTAATTGCTTTTATTTAATCTTATAGATAAATATTAGAATAAATATGTATGTTTGTGACATTATTCCCTCTTCAAGTTCTTGATACCAAACATATTATATTTTGCCATCTATTCAAGGAAAGACATGTCATTCTTGAGGATCTTCATCTTGAAGATTGTCACAATTGCAATGTCTTGTCTAGTAAGTCAATAAGTAATAGTTCTTGAGTTGAATTTACTAATTATTGGTTCTCTATTTTCTTAGAATTATAAATATATAAAATTATAAATAAGAGTAGAAGATACAATGCTATCTTTTTTGGATCTTGTTTCTTTTATAGCAAAGATTTACTATTCTTCATCTTAGTTTTGATGGATGTTATTGATGAAAAGCCTCAATCTTCTTTGTTGCATTTATAAGATTCTTTGTTGACTCCTATGTGTATTCACTAATAACATATTTGTACCAATAAACAAGACATTTTAATATATTTTGGCGCTGTCTTGAATTTAAGTCTTCTTCTACCTTAAATTCTTCTTTACTATCCACTTTTATAAAATGAAGAGGCATTTGTCTTTCTTTTGAGATTTTCATTATCTTATATGGCTCAAAAAGAGATACATGAAATTTGGAATGGATCTTCATAGACTTTAGTAGATGTAATTAATAAGTAAAAAAATTGACTTATATACTAATAGAAAAAAGTCAAAGCTTATGATAGCCCAACTTATTACAAGGACAAGTAGTCTTAATATTGTAATGAAGTAATCATACTTCATCACTAATATTAAATTGTGGTTGTTTATTGCATCTCCATTGTTCTTTTGTCATTCTTGAGTTTCTTTTAATTGTGATTTCATTAATGCATGTAGCTTTGACAAGAAATTTTCCAAATCTATTGGTAAAGAATTATCAACTTTTAAAAAATCAAAAGTATCAAGTTATAGATGATAACCATAATTAGTAAAAAAATTTTATTTATTGAATAGAAGAATATACCAAATTATTGTACACAAACTTTGTCAATAAAAAAAAAGTTCTCTAATCATCTTAATGATAATCAATGGTACACCTCAAATACTGTTTCAAAACTTTATTCACCTCTTTTATTTGCCTATCAATTTGAGAATGAAAAGTCAAAAATAGCTTTATATCCACCTTAAAAATCTTGAAAAAGATTCTTTAAAATCTTGATATAAATTGAATCTCCTTATTTCATTTAATATCCTTACATAATCTAAGATAGCGATAAATGTTGTCAAAAAATAGTTTAGTCATTTCTCTACATATGAGAGATTTTATATATGATATCAAATATACTATCTTGGTAAAATGATCTCTATCACAAATATAGAATCATATAAACATGAGATTGTAAGATCTATGACAAAATCTATAGAAGTAAAAGACCATGGTTGTTTTGGAATAGGTAATGGCTGAAGAAATCCATAAGATCAATGATGAGGAGTTTTGGATCTTGAATAAGTATTACATGATTGTACAAAGTCTTTAATTGTTTTTTACATTTAAGGCTACCAAAAATCTCTAGATATTAGCTGTAAAGTCTTATTTTATCCAAAATGTTGGTTTCTAGAAAGTCATGATAAGCTTGAAGAATACGTAATTATGTTTTACTTTTTGGAATGTATAATCATTCTTCAAAGTAAAGTAGATTATTCTTGAACTCAAATTTGAAAGTACTATGGAACTTAGAAGAATTATTCTTGATATCATGAATAAGATGATTAGAAGACATACTTAATTGAATTTGTTTGAGAAAGGTTGAATCAACAATCAATGTTGATTTTATTGCTTGAAGATGAAAATACTTTGACTTCAAGAAAATTGTTCTTTGTTGATTAAAAGCTACATCTCTTTCTTTTGATGTAAGATAAAAATATCTAAAAAGAGCATTTGATAAACTTTGTTATTTTTTGGATCTATAAGTGATCTTAAAATCAAATTTTGATAAAGATATTTTCTAATAGGCTTGGCAATGATTCAAAAAACATATTGACATGAAGTATTTAAGGTTCTTGTAATTTTTATTTATAATAATTGAAATAGAAGTGCCTTGTAGATATTAATACCATTTTTGAAATGAATCCACAATTATAAAAAGTTCTTTATTGTGAATCTCATAGTTAATTTCAACTACTGAAAATTTCCTATAATAAATAGCTACCAGATGGAGCTTATGACCTGCTCCCATTTGTAATAACATGACATCCATAACAAAGTCTGATGCATCTACTTATACAAAAAATACCTTTAAAAAATAGATGCAATACAAAATTGGTGCAAAAATAAATGTTGTCTTCAAAGCTTCAAAAGATATTTCAACTTTTTTACTTCACTCAAGTTTTTCTTTACACATTAGATGTGTAAGAGAAGTCACAACTTGAAAAAAGTTCTTAATGAAGATTGGATAATAATTGGCAAATTTCAAAAAATATTGCATATTGTAGATTATTTTTGAGACCTTTTAATCCATAATAGTTTGAACCTTCTTAGGATCTATTATTAATTTTCTATTGAAAATGATGTAACTTAAGAAATCAACTTAAATAATATAGAATATACAATTTTTTTTTTATCTTTGCATATAATCTTATATCTGTAAGTTTTTCTAACATATGACAAATATGAAGTTCATATTATTCTGTATTCTTAGAATAGATTAGAATGTCGTCTAAATAACAAACAAAAAAAATAATCATAAAATTCATAAAAAACATCATTTATGAAATGTTGAAAAGCAATTGGTGCATTTGCAAGTTCAAAAGGCATGACATTATATTCAAAAGTTCATACTTAGTTCAAAAAGCAGTCTTATACTTGTCTCGTTTTTTGATGTGAATTAGGTTGTATCCTCCTTGTAGATCTATTTTTATGTAGATCTTTGCTTAATTGAATTGGTTAAGAAGTTTTAAAATTAAAGATAAGGGATACCTAGTCTTAATGGTGATCTTCTTAAGTCCTTGATAATCTATGCACATTTCCAAAGATCTATCTTTTTTCTTTACAAATAAGATAGGAGCTCCTATTGGAGATTTTTCATGGTGTATGAAGTTTTTAATCAAGTTCTCATTAATATTTTGTTTTAAGATAGCTAATTTATTTTGTAATAAGTTGTAGATTGGTGTAAATGGTAGTTGAGTTCCTTCTTATAGATCAATTATATAATCATAGAATCAATGCTCTGAAAGAATATTTACATTTTTCTTTCAAAAATGTCATAAAAATCTTGATATTGGCTAAGAATGCTTCTTAACATCTTTTTACTATCAAAAATAGGTATTGCATATATAACAAAAGATGATCTTTTTTTTGTTGCATGCATGAAAGCTCTT